TGTGTGTCCTTAAAGCTCAAGGCCCAAATTGCGGGCCGCGCTGGGCAAGATTACTAATCTTGCGCAGCTGTTGTTTTGGTGCTGTGGTTTGGCGAATGTTGGGTTACGGTAGGTACGAATGAATCTGATTGGTCGAGGCCAATCTCACTGCAGAAACTTCAACTTTCAGTATTTCTCAATTTGGGACTCTCGGACCCAAACAGAATGTTTGCCTTGGGGTTTGCTGACTCAGCGACTGTTGCGAGAGCTTGTGCGAAATAAGTCAACCCCAACCCCCCAACACTTTCTTGACCAGCCGCCCAAACCCTTGCGCAAGATTACTAACCTTGCGCAATTTGGGCCTTGAGCTTTAACTGTCGCGCTGTACTTGTCAGGTCAAAGGTCGCTTGACCTTTGACTTTCGCGTAACCTCCAGCAACCTCTTTCAACCTCCGAGGGTTGACTCGCTCGTGCCTCGATATGACTCGCTTCGCTTCGTGTGTGATGTTTCGACACGACAGAGGCGCTTTAAGAATTACTTGTTTCCAACAGTGCCAACTGAAGTATCAAACACTTTGAGTAAACGACAGTTACGGATACGGAAAGCAGAGTGCTTGCCATCCGCTCAGCTGTTCACACACCAGCCACATCGACTGAGCACAACATGGGAGTACGGTAAGAGGTTACAGGTGTATCCACCTGGTACCGGTAACTTCAAGGCGACATTTGAGCCGACTCAAAAGTCACTGTCCAGATATAACTTTGCTCAGCTGCTCAGATACTCCCTACAAGCTTAGCTGAGACAACATGCAACCTAGCCCTCCCATCCCATCCCATCCCATCCCATCTCATCCCATCCCATCCCATCCCATCCCATCCCATCCCATCCCATCCCATCTCATCCCATCCCATCCCATCCCATCCCATCCCATCCCATCCCATCCCATCCCATCCCATCCCATCCCATCCCATCCCATCCCATCCCATCCCATCCCATCCCATCCCATCCCATCCCATCCCATCCCATCCCATCCCATACCATACCATACCATCCCATCCCATCCCATCCCATCCATCCCATCCCATCCCATCCCATCCCATCCCATCCCATCCCATCCCATCCCATCCCATCCCATCCCATCCCATCCCATCCCATCCCATCCCATCCCATCCCATCCCATCCCATCCCATCCCATCCCATCCCATCCCATCCCATCCCATCCCATCCCATCCCATCCCATCCCATCCCATCCCATCCCATCCCATCCCATCCCATCCCATCCCATCCCATCCCATCCCATCGCATCCCATCGCATCCCATCCCATCCCATCCCATCCCATCCCATCGCATCCCATCCCATCCCATCCCATCCCATCCCATCCCATCCCATCCCATCCCATCCCATCCCATCCCATCCCATCCCATCCCAACCCATCCATCCCATCCCATCCCAACCCATCCCAACCCATCCCATCCCATCCCATCCCATCCCATCCCATCCCATCCCATCCCATCCCATCCCATCCCATCCCATCACATCCCATCCCATCCCATCCCATCCCATGCCATGCCATGCCATGCCATGCCATGCCATCCCATCCCATCCCATCCCATCCCATCCCATCCCATCCCATCCCATCCCATCCCATCCCATCCCATCCCATCCCATCCCATCCCATCCCATCCCATCCCATCCCATCCCATCCCATCCCATTCCATCCCATCCCATCCCATCCCGTCACCCAGTGTGTGTGCACAGCCCATCTCGCAATCAAGGCCTCCAATACCAACCTCCATCACCCCGCCGAGTGCTCATGCAGCAGCACACACTATCAAGCACAGCCAAATCAATCGAATCCCCTCCCATCCCCCCATCAACCCTCCAAGTGCTTATGCAGCAGCATGTACTCGCGGCTGTTGTTTTGAGGCGCCTCAAAAGGCCCCATTCTCCCATCCCCCCTATCCACCATCCCCCTATTCCCCCCTATCCACCATCATCACCCCGCCGACTGTTCATGCAGCAGCACATGCTCGCGGCTGCTGTTGCCAAACTTCGCCGTGTCCCGCCTTGTGCCAGGCCCATGTTCCACGGGGCGTACCTGCAGCAGCACTGCCTATCACCCCACCACCCAATTCCCCCCTTCAACCCGCCGAGTGCTCATGGAGCAGCACGTACTCGCGGCTACTGTTGCCAAACTTCACCGTGTCCTTCTCCATTAGCTCGTAGTATCTCTGTGCTTCAATGCGTGATCCCTGCATGCAACACACACACACACACGAGGCATAAGGAACCACTGCTGTTGCCAAACTTCACCGTGTCCTTCTCCATCAGCTCATAGTAACTCTGTGCTTCAATAAGCGACCCCTGCATGCAACACACACACACACACACACACACGAGACATAAGGAACCACGGCTGCTGTAGCCAGCCTTCACCATATCCTTCTCCATCAACTCATAGTACCATTGTGTGTCAATCCGTGACACCTGCATGCACCACACGCACAAACAGGCAATGCGGGAATTGCATGCTATGCATGAGGAAGTGCTCCCCCCACTCCCAGCTTCATCGTATCCTTCCCCATCAGCTCGTAGCACCGCTGCGCCTCGATGCGCGACCCCTGCAAGCAGCACCACACACACCAGGGCAACAGCCGGCTTGCATACAAAGCACCAGGCACTGCACCCGCTGTTCTGTACCCAGCTTCACCGTGCCCTTCCCCATCAGCTCGTAGCATCTTTGCGCCTCTATGTATGATCCCTGCAGGCAGAGGGGCGATGAATGGCACACACAGCAGCAGGGCGATGGAGGGATTGCACACAAGGCATCAGGAAGCGCTTTCCCCTCCCCACTCCCAGCTTCACTGTGCCCTTCCCCATCAGCTCGTTGCATCTTTGCGCCTCGATGTGTGATCCCTGCAAGCAGAGGGGCGATGAATGGCACACACAGCAGCAGGGCGATGGAGGGATTGCACACAAGGCATCAGGAAGCGCTTTCCCCTCCCCACTCCCAGCTTCACTGTGCCCTTCCCCATCAGCTCGTTGCATCTTTGCACCTCGATGTGTGATCCCTGCAAGCAGAGGGGCGATGAATGGCACACACAGCAGCAGGGCGATGGAGGGATTGCACACAAGGCATCAGGAAGCGCTTTCCCCTCCCCACTCCCAGCTTCACTGTGCCCTTCCCCATCAGCTCGTTGCATCTTTGCGCCTCGATGTGTGATCCCTGCAAGCAGAGGGGCGATGAATGGCACACACAGCAGCAGGGCGATGGAGGGATTGCACACAAGGCATCAGGAAGCACTTTCCCCTCCCCACTCCCAGCTTCACTGTGCCCTTCCCCATCAGCTCGTTGCATCTTTGCGCCTCGATGTGTGATCCCTGCAAGCAGAGGGGCGATGAATGGCACACACAGCAGCAGGGCGATGGAGGGATTGCACACAAGGCATCAGGAAGCGCTTTCCCCTCCCCACTCCCAGCTTCACTGTGCCCTTCCCCATCAGCTCGTTGCATCTTTGCGCCTCGATGTGTGATCCCTGCAAGCAGAGGGGCGATGAATGGCACACACAGCAGCAGGGCGATGGAGGGATTGCACACAAGGCATCAGGAAGCGCTTTCCCCTCCCCACTCCCAGCTTCACTGTGCCCTTCCCCATCAGCTCGTTGCATCTTTGCGCCTCGATGTGTGATCCCTGCAAGCAGAGGGGCGATGAATGGCACACACAGCAGCAGGGCGATGGAGGGATTGCACACAAGGCATCAGGAAGCGCTTTCCCCTCCCCACTCCCAGCTTCACTGTGCCCTTCCCCATCAGCTCGTTGCATCTTTGCGCCTCGATGTGTGATCCCTGCAAGCAGAGGGGCGATGAATGGCACACACAGCAGCAGGGCGATGGAGGGATTGCACACAAGGCATCAGGAAGCGCTTTCCCCTCCCCACTCCCAGCTTCACTGTGCCCTTCCCCATCAGCTCGTTGCATCTTTGCGCCTCGATGTGTGATCCCTGCAAGCAGAGGGGCGATGAATGGCACACACAGCAGCAGGGCGATGGAGGGATTGCATTAGGAAGTGGTCTCCCCACTCCCAGCTCTCCCCACTCCCAGCTTCACCGTGTCCTCCCCCATCAGCTAAGAGTATCGTTGCGCCTCCATGCGCGAACCCTGCAGGAAGCGCGCACACCATCGCAATGGATGGCACACACACAATGCGCTAGGATACACACTGTTGCTGTTCCCACCCACCCTTCACCGTATCCTTCTCCATCAGCTCATAGTACCGTTGTGCTTCTCCATGCACGATCCCTGCAGGCAGAGGGACGATTGATGGCACACACACACGCACACAGGCAAGTTCGCACACACGCACAGCGCCACGATACACACTGTTGCTGTTCCCACCCTTCACCGCAGTACCGCTGCGCTTCGATGCGCAAGCCCTGTAAGCAGCCCACAGGGCAACCCACAGGCAAGGCGTCAGGGACTACTGTCCTTGTTGCCAAGCTTCACCCAACCCCTCTCCATCAGCTCGTAGTGCCGCTGACTTTTGAGTCGACGCAAAAGTCAACCCCTCTCCATCAGCTCGTAGTGCCGCTGTCTTTTGAGTCGACGCAAAAGTCAACCCCTCTCCATCAGCTCGTAGTGCCGCTGTCTTTTGAGTCGACGCAAAAGTCAACCCCTCTCCATCAGCTCGTAGTGCTGCTGTCTTTTGAGTCGACGCAAAAGTCAACCCCTCTCCATCAGCTCGTAGTGCCGCTGTGCCTCGATGCGCGACCCCTGAAGGTCACCAGCGATGGATGGACAGCAGGCACACAGACGGACGATTTGTCCACAAGGCACCAAGAAACACTGTCCCCTCCACTGCCGAGCCTTCCCCGTGCCCTTCTCCATCAGCTCGTAGCACTGCTGTGCCTCCATGCATCATCCCTGCGGATTGCGGCGCCTTCACTTTCCATTCATCGCTCTTCTCCATTGCAGCGCTCTGCATCCATGAGTGCATCCATGGGTGCATCCACGGGTGCATCCATGGGTGCATCCACGGGTGCATCCACGGGTGCATCCATGGGTGCATCCACGGGTGCATCCACGGGTGCATCCACGGGTGCATCCACGGGTGCATCCACGGGTGCATCCACGGGTGCATCTACGGGTGCATCCACGGGTGCATCCATGGGTGCATCCATGGGTGCATCCATGGGTGCATCCATGGGTGCATCCATGGGTGCATCCATGGGTGCATCCATGGGTGCATCCATGGGTGCATCCACGGGTGCATCCAAGGGTGCATCTGTTATCGGTTGTGTGGACAACAGCTCTTCTCCATGCGTGCATATGTGCACACCCGACAAACCAAGGAGCACCACTTGTCATGCCGAAACTGATTACCACCATTAAAACCTCATGCATGCATGTGCAAGCAAGAATCTATGCCCGAAGAACCAATAGGGAAGACCTGCGCTGTGCATACATGCATGCATGCACGCACGGACGCACGCACGCACGCACGCATGCAGCAGCTGGTGTGGTAATGAGTCGAAGCAGGGCGAGTGAGTCAGGGGCTGGGAGGGATGGATTAAAAGAAAGATACAGCATGCACACAGCCATGCAGACTGGAACCAGACCCACCATGCACCCCATCATCATGCCGCGCCACACAAAGCACCACCATGCATGCACCACCATGCATGCACCACCATGCCCCACCATGCACCACCGTGCACCACCGTGCACCACCGTACAGCACCGTGTCTGACTCACATTGAGGAACGTGCCGTTGGTGCTGCCGAGATCCATAAGGTAGGGCCTGCAAAGAAAAAAACGGCAATTGATTGGTTGCAAATGGCTGCGAGGGGTTGCGAATGGTTGCAAAACGGTTGTGGTTGGTTGTGAATGATTGCAAACGGGATACCGGAACTCCTTTCCCTGTGCACACATGCAACCACCTCAAAAAGGGTTATCGTATCTCACAAGCACCGCTCTCTCACCTCACACCCCTCTCTCACCTCACAGCACACCTGTCACCCAAGCCAACAAGTGAGGTCATCTCCGCACTTGACTCCTTCTCCATTCGATGGTATGACCATGCGAGAATCACCATCACCATCACCACACCTCACAAGCACAGCACCAATCCCCTCACCTCACAACACAACAAGCCCCAGTCCCTCACCTCACAACAAGCCCCAGTCCCTCACCTCACAAGGGAAGTTATCTCCCCACTCGGCTCCTCCTTGTCTACCAGGCTGGTATGACCACGAATGCAGCAAATGGAGGGAAGGTAGTCACCAGATAGGGTAAAAGAACCATTACATCGGCACAGTCAGTCACAATAGAATGCACCAGCAGAGGAGATGCTAATGTTGAGACAGGTGGGATGGTGACAGGGTGAAACAAAATGATGAGATGGTGAGATGGGATGATGGTGACACAAGAGGTTGCATGGAAGGACATGATAAGCAGAAAGATAACATGTAGACAAGGTGGGATGGCGCTCACATGGCGTGATGGCGCTCACATGGTGGGATGGCGCTCACATGGCGTGATGGCAGGAACAGGGGGGGTTGGAGGAGGCACGTGGTGAGAGGGTGGGTTGGAGGAGGCACGTGGTGAGAGGGTGGGTTGGAGGAGGCACGTGGTGAGAGGGTGGGTTGGAGGAGGCACGTGGTGAGCGAACAGCCAGACTTCTACAGGGCGTGAGACAAAACAGCACACTCCAATCGTGTGGAAAAGAACAGCAGACCCACAAACAACACCACACGACACCACACAGCACCACAAGTCACCACACAGCACACCGCACAGCACACCGCACAGAACCACGTGGCAGCGCACAGCACACCCACCGGAACTGAATGACGGCATGCTGCTTGCTGCACGACGGATGGTCTGTTGGCACATCCGCAACCTACCCCCCAGTCAGCACACCACACAGGTAAAGCAGCAGGGCAACGGACAAACAGGTTTTGTTCCACGTAAGGAAGAGCGTATCTAACGAGGGGGAAGCAATCCCATCCCATGTTTGTTGTGGCGGGCGGGCTTGTTACGGGGTCCCAATGGAAGAAGAAAAGAGAAGGACGTGAGAGGGTGGATGGTTGTGGATGCGGGATTGCTGTGGCAAACGCACAAGTCCAGAGATTGATTGACCGACCTAACACCACCGTAGGCAAAACTAGGTCTTGAGGCACATCAAAACTAGGTCTTGAGGCACATCAAAACTAGGTCTTGAGGCACATCAAAACCCACTGCCCCCACACTCCCACTGCCCCCACACTCCCACTGCCCTTCACACTTCCACTGTCCCTCATACTCCCATTGGCCTCCCCACTCACTTTTCTCTCTCGACCAAAGAGGTAGCATGTTTGGCGATGGATGTAGAGCGGCTCTGATACCACATGCATGCAGGGGCAGGGCGGACAGACATGCACGCAGGGACGGACATGCACGCAGACACACACACAATTGTTAAACCAAGAGAAGCGGTAGCACGTCTGGCGATGGATGTAAAGCAGCTCTGATACCATGTGTGCATGGTTAGTTAGACAGACATGCAGGCACGTACACAAACACACAGATAGGCATTGGATAGGAATCCACAACTCAACAGTGAGCCGCATGTCCCATGCACTGGAAATGAGGGGAGGTGCGGGGGGCGTTGGGGGAAGGTTGTAATGGGTTGCAAAGAAGGTTGTGGTGGGAAAGGGGAGGGGAGGGAAGGAGGGGGGATGGGGCGGGTTTTGTGGTGTGGAGCAGGGAAACGGGAAGGGAGGAGGGGAGCGGAAGGGGAAGGGGGGGTTTGGAAAGTCTTATTAAGAAGAGTGGATGGGATTCTTGGGAAATTTGAGAAACTGCTTGCAACAACAAGAGAGCATGGGATGACTTCTAAAGCTCTTTACCTTTCAAGAATCACCAAATAGAATCAACATAACAAAACCCACCCACCTTTGAAAGGCTCCCCGTCTTTAAAGACGTATAACCGCCAGCAGATGGAGGGCATGTTTGTCTCGACTCAAAACCGTTAAAGCCTCACCTTTAAAAGGCTCCCCGTCTTTAAAGACGTATAGCCGCCAGCGGATGGAGGGCTTGCGCGCCTCTGGAGGCTCATTGTACACGAGCGCGACACCTGGCAGCGTGTGATTGGTTGGTGGGGTTGGACGGCACGAGGGCATATCGTACGAGGGGAAGGAGCGAGGGAGAGAGGTTGATGGGCAGGAGGAAGCCTCAAAGCTACATAGAATATTCGTTATAGTAACGAACGAGTTCCCATTGTTAAGTGATTCGTTTCATTAAGCAAAATACTTTCTTGCCTCTCACAGATTCCCTTTCCCATAAGTGTTCTTGAGTCGACTCAAAAGCAAATTCCCTTTCCCATACCCAAGCGAGTGCACTCCCCACCCTCGCTCTCTCCCCACGGCCGCACGCCCCCTCTATCCCGCCCCCTCTCACTACAGGCAGCACCACCACCATCAATCAACCACACCCACACGGCACCCCACAATACCCACACCACACAGCACCCCACAGCACCCACACGGCACCTCACTGCACCGCACAGCACCCACCTCGAAAGCGGTTGGTTTCTTCAGCCAGTTTTCCCGACAGCTCAAACGACGGCTGCGCTGCCTGCAACGTGGGGAGGAGAGGGCGGGAAGTTGGAAGGGGGAGGGGGAAGGGGGAGGGGGAAGGCGGGCGGGGGAGGGGGGAGGGGGGAGGGAGGGGCGCAGCAGAAGGAAGTAATGGAGGGGTGCGGAAGAGGGAGAGGTAGACAGAAGTGGTTTTCAGCCAGTTTGCTCGATAGATCAAAGGACGGCTGCGCTGCCTGCACCGTGGGGATGAGAGGGGGGGAGGTGGGGGAGGTGGGGTGCAGCAGAGGGAAGGAAGCCATGGAGGAGGGGAGGGGAAGAGGGAGAACGAGAGGACCGTTTGAAAGAGAGGCACACGTCGTCAGCTCAGACAACGGCTGCGGTGCCTGCAGTGTGTGTATGGTGGGGAGAGGGGGGAGGGAAGGGAGGGGGGAGGAGGAGGAGGAGGGTGAGGGGGAGGAGGACGGGGAGGAGGAGGGGGGAGGAGGAGGGAGGAGGAGGAGGAGGAGGAGGAGGAGGAGGAGGAGGAGGAGGAGGAGAGGAGGAGGAGGAGGAGGAGGAGGAGGAGGAGGAGGGGAGGGGAGGAGGGGAGGGGGAGGGGGGAGGGGGAGGGGGGGGGTCGGGGTGGGGGGGGGGAAGCAGCAGAAGGAAGGAAGCTGTGGTGTGGAACAGTGGAGGAGGAGGAGGAGGCGAGGGAGGGGGAGAGGAAGACAACAGTCGCCTTCTTCCTTCCAGTTGGCCTCGCACCTCAAACCACGCCTCCCCCTCACCTTCTTCTCCCCCTCACCTTCTTCTCCCCCTCTCCTTCTTCTCCCCCTCACCTTCTTCTCCCCCTCACCTTCTTCTCCCCCTCCCCCTCCCCCTCCCCCTCCCCCTCCCCCTCCCCCTCCCCCTCCCCCTCACCTTTTTCTTCTCCCCCTCCTTCGCCTCAAGAGCCTTCTGCGTTGCTTCCATGGCCTGCAGCGTCTCAGGGTCCACGTCAGCAAGAACCCTCCCCCCTGCCGCCGACCTGTCCACGTCAGCAACCACCCGCCCCCCTGCAGCCGCCCCATTTCCGCTAGCATGGGGGGTGGTGCGCACAGGGGGCCCGCCAAGCGGGGGAGGAGGGGGCGCGGAGAAGGGGTAGTGCGGGGGGGGCGGAGGAGGGGGAAGGATGGGGGGGGCGGAAGCGGGCGGGGGAGGCGGGAGGGGAGGGGGAGCAGCGGAAGGGCCAAAACCAGCAGCAGCGCGCGCAGCTTCTGCTGCCAGCGCTGCTGCATCCATCACTGGCTGGGCGCGCGCTGGGCGTGCGGAAGGACCCGCACTGGCCCGCGCTGATCTCTCCGCCCTCGCCGTTTTCCCCGCTCGTTTCTCCTCCTCCTCCTCTTCTTGGTGCCTGCTCCGCCTCCTCTCCTTTGCCTCTTCCTCGCTACTGTCACTCCCGCTACGCCGTACACGCGCTCTCTGTCCGCCCTCCTTCCCCCCTCGCCCCTCACCCCTCTCCTCCTCCCCCCCTCTCCGCCGCCCCCTCTTCCGCTCCCCCGCCGCCTCCGAATCGCTCTCACTCGCGGACTCGCTCCCCCTCCTCCGCCTCCCGCCAGCACCGCTGCGACTGTCTCTCCCGCCTCTCCCGCTGTCGCGGTTTCCACGTCCTCTCCCCCTCTCATCCTCTTCATCCTCCGCATCGCTGTCTGATCGCCGCTTCTCGCTTCGACGCCGATCCGCATGCTTCGAAGCATGCCGATCGGACTCTCCTCCCTTCGCCTTCTCCCTCCTCTTCTCCTCTTTCCCCCTTCCTTCCCTCCTCTCCTCCTCCTCCTCGTCCGACGAATATCTCCGTCGCACGCGTCGCCCACGATCGCCCCGCCGGTCGTCTCGCTCTTCGTCAGACACCGAATTCCGTCGCCTGCTTCCGCTATCATCGCTGTCGCTATTGTCGCTACCGCTGTCGCTTTCGCCTCGGCGACGGTGGCGATAGTGTCGCCCGCGACCGCCTTCCGCCATCGTCACGCGACAATCCAAACCTACGGTCGCAACGAAAGCAGCGCGAGGCGACGAGAAATATTTTGTGCAAGTAATGCAAAAAAGGCTGATGTGTAGGCTATATTCAAATACCCACAGTATATGTGTGTGACTAAGTAACCAGCTCCAATTTATTAAGCGCCTCAGGAGTCAGTATATGTGTGTGACGACTCGACCAGGCCCAATGATAGGCTTATAGGACAAGCCTGTGCGGGCCTTACGGTCGCAGGAGCGTTGTGCGCGACTCTCCTAACCTAGTCATAGCGTCAAGGCTAGGCTTTCCCCGTTTGCCCCAATTTCATCCGTTCGATCACGTTATTCGTTACCCCGTTTGCGATGCTTCTTTTCTTTACAACCCGTAAACTCGACTTTGACATATGGTACAAGTATTGTCCATTTTCTTCCTAATAATCTCTATATTAAAGAACATGATGCATCCGTTTTGCTTGTAGTAACTAATGACTACTTTCATTCTAGGCTATAACATTGACAAACGGCACCCGAATTCGGTTTCCAATCCAACCAACCACAGACCTTGCTGCCACCAGGAATGCCACCCTGGTCAAAGCAGACTGCTCTCCTCCCTACCCCAACAAGTTATGATTAACAAAAGAACACTGTAAGGGTCTGTAACTAGCCATACAAAAACTAGGGAGCCTACATACATTTTCCTTGCTATAGTGGTAGCAAACAATAACCACCCTAAATAAAGACGTTCATCATCAGAAGCAACACGAGCTATCCACACCCCTTTTAACTTTAGGAATCTGTTTACTGTTCTCTTTCTACACTCTATCCCACCATCAGGCAGCCTGAGCCCCGATTTTGGTGATGGAAGAGTCGTTGAGATTGGCATGCTGGAAGCCGTACCTCTTGAGCACCTGGTTGTCCGCAAAGGCATATGCCCTGAAAGGGTTGGGAAGGATTAGAAGGGTGACGGGACAACAAGCAGGGGGGGGGATGAACAAATTGCATACACAAGACCTCTTGCTGAGAGCACCTTCTTTTCGGCGATTGAGCTGAGCGCACGGTTAAGGACCGAGAGAGGAGACGGGAGGCGAGAAGGCATGGGAGGGGAAACAGGCAGGAGGTTAGGGGGACGCAACTTGTTTGGCTAAATCCTTGAGCCACACAAAGCTTCTCTGCTTCTTCGTTCCAAGACCCCCTCCCCATCCCTGAAGTGGATTGGAAGTGCCGCAGTCACACGTCATTGCCAGTGAGCTCGGCGTGTGTAAGCACAGTTGGCGGCGTGCGAAGGCTTTCAAACGCCTTGATGCTATGCTTTCCAGACGCCATTGAATACTCGTACTGGTGAAGATTTGGGTGCTAACCATTGCTGAATGCTTGAACGCTCTGAGTGCTTATCACAAGTGAGTGTTTGACTTCTCATATTGGTGAGTGCTGCTTAATGTTGGATGCAGCAGTCGTAGGTGCCGGGATCCTAATCGGAGAATGCTCGCAAGTCATGGCTCTTGGTGAATGCTCGCGACTGCTGCTAATTTTGGTGAATGCTCGCCACTGCTGCTAATTTTGGTGAATGCTCGCGACTGCTGCAAATTCTGGTGAATGCTCGTGACTGCTGCGAATTTTGGTGAATGCTCGCGACTGCTGCGAATAATGGTGAATGCTCGCGACTGCTGCGAATAATGGTGAATGCTCGCGACTGCTGCTAATTATGGTGAATGCTCGCGACTGCTGCAAATTTTGGTGAATGCTCGCGACTGCTGCAAATTTTGGTGAATGCTCGCGACTGCTGCTAATTTTGGTGAATGCTCGCGAGTGCTGACCACTCAGGACTGCTGCTCATACGCACCGGTGGATGCTACAGTTGCAGGCGTCGTGGTCTGAGAATGCTTGAATGCTCATGACAACTTGTGACTGGTGAACGCTGTGAGTGCTAACTTCTGGTGAATGTTTGAACGCTTGTAAGGGTCAGTGCTGCTCATACGCACCGGTGGATGCTCCGGTCGCAGGTGTCAGGTTTGTAGTCAGAGAATGTGCGGTCGCACAGCTTGCAACCCGTGAAGTGCACCGTGAAGGGCTTGAACGCTCATGAGTGCTTAGCTTACAGCTGGTGAGTGGTCAGAGTGCCATGTAATGATAAGAGAGCGCCGTGAACGCCCTGAAGACATGTGCGAGCAAGTGGCATTCACCTGTGAATGACTCGGTCAACAGGTGCCGGGGTCAACAGGTGCCGGGGTCAACAGGTGCCGGGGTCAACAGGTGCCGGGGTCATAGTCGGACAACTTGCGGTCGCACAGCTTGCACCCCATGAGCGGTTTGAACGCTCATGAGTGCTTAGCTTACAGTTGATGAGTGCTCAGAGTGCCATGTAATGGCGAGCGCTGTGCGTGCTGGCTGCTGCTGCTGCTGCCAGTGAGGGTGCCGCGCACACATACCGGTGAATGCCGCGGTCGCATGTGTCGGGGTCATAGTCAGAGAACTTGCGGTCACACAGCTTGCACCCCGTGAAGTGCACCGTGAAAGGCCACTCCCAGTTGCCCATCCCGTTGTGGTACTTTGCTGCTATCGCCTCCAGCCTGGTGGAACAGGAGCAAGTAGTACGCGGAAAGGGAGGGGGGCAGGTGGGCAGGGAAAGGGAGGATGACGAGGCAATGGCGTGAAGTGCACCGTGAAGGGCCACTCCCAGTTGCCCTCTCCGTTGTTGTACTTAGCTGCTACCCGCCTGGTGGAAAAGGTTGAGAGAAAAGGATGTGGGGATGAGGGATAGGATGAGGAGAAGGCGGTAAGTACACGGTGAAGGGCCACCTCCACTTGCCCTCTCCGTTGTGGCTGCTACCTCCTCCGCCCTGGTGTGGGGGGATAGGGGGAAAAGGGGGAGGGTTGAAGGTGCGCGGCTGCCTGTAAGGGGAGGGGGAGCCGAGGGGGGAAAGGGGGGAGGAGAGGGGTGCAGAGCGTAAGGAGGCGTGCAGTGCAGTGCAGTGTGTGCAGGGCAGCTACCTTGCCACACGCTTCACTCACGCCGTGCCAATCTTAAGGCACTCACTCACTTGTCCACGAAAATCCCCCAGAAGCCATGCAGAGTGTACATGGGTTCGAGGTGCGTGCAGTTTCGGCTAGCGGTCCCACAGATCACAGGTGTGTACTCTGCACTGCAGGCTTTGCTCTTTCCGCCACCTCCACTCACTCGTCCACGAATATACCCCAATACCGTGCAGAATGTATGAGAGGTCATGGCGCGCGCGCTGGGCACAACAGTCCCACAGAGCACAGGTGTATTGCATGCTACACTGCAGACGCTGCATGCACTGCAGACGCTGCTCTCTCCCATGCTGCCACTCTACCATTCACTTGTCCACAAAGATCCCCCAGAAGCCATGCAGCGTGTTTGCGGGGCAGTCCCACAGAGCACTGGTTTGCGGGGCAGTCCCACAGAGCACTGGTTTGCGGGGCAGTCCCACAGAGCACTGGTTTGCGGGGCAGTCCCACAGAGCACTGGTTTGCGGGGCAGTCCCACAGAGCACTGGTTTGCGGGGCAGTCCCACAGAGCACTGGTTTGCGGGGCAGTCCCACAGAGCACTGGTTTGCGGAGCAGTCCCGCAGAGCACTGGTTTGCGGGGCAGTCCCACAGAGCACTGGTTTGCGGGGCAGTCCCACAGAGCACTGGTTTGCGGGGCAGTCCCACAGAGCACTGGTTTGCGGGGCAGTCCCACAGAGCACTGGTTTGCGGGGCAGTCCCACAGAGCACTGGTTTGCGGGGCAGTCCCACAGAGCACTGGTTTGCGGGGCAGTCCCACAGAGCACTGGTTTGCGGGGCAGTCCCACAGAGCACTGGTTTGCGGGGCAGTCCCACAGAGCACTGGTTTGCGGGGCAGTCCCACAGAGCACTGGTTTGCGGGGCAGTCCCACAGAGCACTGGTTTGCGGGGCAGTCCCACAGAGCACTGGTTTGCGGGGCAGTCCCGCAGAGCACTGGTTTGCGGGGCAGTCCCGCAGAGCACTGGTTTGCGGGGCAGTCCCACAGAGCACTGGTTTGCGGGGCAGTCCCACAGAGCACTGGTTTGCGGGGCAGTCCCACAGAGCACTGGTTGCGGGGCAGTCCCACAGAGCACTGGTTTGCGGGGCAGTCCCACAGAGCACTGGTTTGCGGGGCAGTCCCACAGAGCACTGGTTTGCGGGGCAGTCCCACAGAGCACTGGTTTGCGGGGCAGTCCCACAGAGCACTGGTTTGCGGGGCAGTCCCACAGAGCACTGGTTTGCGGGGCAGTCCCACAGAGCACTGGTTTGCGGGGCAGTCCCACAGAGCACTGGTTTGCGGGGCAGTCCCACAGAGCACTGGTTTGCGGGGCAGTCCCACAGAGCACTGGTTTGCGGGGCAGTCCCACAGAGCACTGGTTTGCGGGGCAGTCCCACAGAGCACTGGTTTGCGGGGCAGTCCCACAGAGCACTGGTTTGCGGGGCAGTCCCACAGAGCACTGGTTTGCGGGGCAGTCCCACAGAGCACTGGTTTGCGGGGCAGTCCCACAGAGCACTGGTTTGCGGGGCAGTCCCACAGAGCACTGGTTTGCGGGGCAGTCCCACAGAGCACTGGTTTGCGGGGCAGTCCCACAGAGCACTGGTTTGCGGGGCAGTCCCACAGAGCACTGGTTTGCGGGGCAGTCCCACAGAGCACTGGTTTGCGGGGCAGTCCCACAGAGCACTGGTTTGCGGGGCAGTCCCACAGAGCACTGGTTTGCGGGGCAGTCCCACAGAGCACTGGTTTGCGGGGCAGTCCCACAGAGCACTGGTTTGCGGGGCAGTCCCACAGAGCACTGGTTTGCGGGGCAGTCCCACAGAGCACTGGTTTGCGGGGCAGTCCCACAGAGCACTGGTTTGCGGGGCAGTCCCACAGAGCACTGGTTTGCGGGGCAGTCCCACAGAGCACTGGTTTGCGGGGCAGTCCCACAGAGCACTGGTTTGCGGGGCAGTCCCACAGAGCACTGGTTTGCGGGGCAGTCCCACAGAGCACTGGTTTGCGGGGCAGTCCCACAGAGCACTGGTTTGCGGGGCAGTCCCACAGAGCACTGGTTTGCGGGGCAGTCCCACAGAGCACTGGTTTGCGGGGCAGTCCCACAGAGCACTGGTTTGCGGGGCAGTCCCACAGAGCACTGGTTTGCGGGGCAGTCCCACAGAGCACTGGTTTGCGGGGCAGTCCCACAGAGCACTGGTTTGCGGGGCAGTCCCACAGAGCACTGGTTTGCGGGGCAGTCCCACAGAGCACTGGTTTGCGGGGCAGTCCCACAGAGCACTGGTTTGCGGGGCAGTCCCACAGAGCACTGGTTTGCGGGGCAGTCCCACAGAGCACTGGTTTGCGGGGCAGTCCCACAGAGCACTGGTTTGCGGGGCAGTCCCACAGAGCACTGGTTTGCGGGGCAGTCCCACAGAGCACTGGTTTGCGGGGCAGTCCCACAGAGCACTGGTTTGCGGGGCAGTCCCACAGAGCACTGGTTTGCGGGGCAGTCCCACAGAGCACTGGTTTGCGGGGCAGTCCCACAGAGCACTGGTTTGCGGGGCAGTCCCACAGAGCACTGGTTTGCGGGGCAGTCCCACAGAGCACTGGTTTGCGGGGCAGTCCCACAGAGCACTGGTTTGCGGGGCAGTCCCACAGAGCACTGGTTTGCGGGGCAGTCCCACAGAGCACTGGTTTGCGGGGCAGTCCCACAGAGCACTGGTTTGCGGGGCAGTCCCACAGAGCACTGGTTTGCGGGGCAGTCCCACAGAGCACTGGTTTGCGGGGCAGTCCCACAGAGCACTGGTTTGCGGGGCAGTCCCACAGAGCACTGGTTTGCGGGGCAGTCCCACAGAGCACTGGTTTGCGGGGCAGTCCCACAGAGCACTGGTTTGCGGGGCAGTCCCACAGAGCACTGGTTTGCGGGGCAGTCCCACAGAGCACTGGTTTGCGGGGCAGTCCCACAGAGCACTGGTTTGCGGGGCAGTCCCACAGAGCACTGGTTTGCGGGGCAGTCCCACAGAGCACTGGTTTGCGGGGCAGTCCCACAGAGCACTGGTTTGCGGGGCAGTCCCACAGAGCACTGGTTTGCGGGGCAGTCCCACAGAGCACTGGTTTGCGGGGCAGTCCCACAGAGCACTGGTTTGCGGGGCAGTCCCACAGAGCACTGGTTTGCGGGGCAGTCCCACAGAGCACTGGTTTGCGGGGCAGTCCCACAGAGCACTGGTTTGCGGGGCAGTCCCACAGAGCACTGGTTTGCGGGGCAGTCCCACAGAGCACTGGTTTGCGGGGCAGTCCCACAGAGCACTGGTTTGCGGGGCAGTCCCACAGAGCACTGGTTTGCGGGGCAGTCCCACAGAGCACTGGTTTGCGGGGCAGTCCCACAGAGCACTGGTTTGCGGGGCAGTCCCACAGAGCACTGGTTTGCGGGGCAGTCCCACAGAGCACTGGTTTGCGGGGCAGTCCCACAGAGCACTGGTTTGCGGGGCAGTCCCACAGAGCACTGGTTTGCGGGGCAGTCCCACAGAGCACTGGTTTGCGGGGCAGTCCCACAGAGCACTGGTTTGCGGGGCAGTCCCACAGAGCACTGGTTTGCGGGGCAGTCCCACAGAGCACTGGTTTGCGGGGCAGTCCCACAGAGCACTGGTTTGCGGGGCAGTCCCACAGAGCACTGGTTTGCGGGGCAGTCCCACAGAGCACTGGTTTGCGGGGCAGTCCCACAGAGCACTGGTTTGCGGGGCAGTCCCACAGAGCACTGGTTTGCGGGGCAGTCCCACAGAGCACTGGTTTGCGGGGCAGTCCCACAGAGCACTGGTTTGCGGGGCAGTCCCACAGAGCACTGGTTTGCGGGGCAGTCCCACAGAGCACTGGTTTGCGGGGCAGTCCCACAGAGCACTGGTTTGCGGGGCAGTCCCACAGAGCACTGGTTTGCGGGGCAGTCCCACAGAGCACTGGTTTGCGGGGCAGTCCCACAGAGCACTGGTTTGCGGGGCAGTCCCACAGAGCACTGGTTTGCGGGGCAGTCCCACAGAGCACTGGTTTGCGGGGCAGTCCCACAGAGCACTGGTTTGCGGGGCAGTCCCACAGAGCACTGGTTTGCGGGGCAGTCCCACAGAGCACTGGTTTGCGGGGCAGTCCCACAGAGCACTGGTTTGCGGGGCAGTCCCACAGAGCACTGGTTTGCGGGGCAGTCCCACAGAGCACTGGTTTGCGGGGCAGTCCCACAGAGCACTGGTTTGCGGGGCAGTCCCACAGAGCACTGGTTTGCGGGGCAGTCCCACAGAGCACTGGTTTGCGGGGCAGTCCCACAGAGCACTGGTTTGCGGGGCAGTCCCACAGAGCACTGGTTTGCGGGGCAGTCCCACAGAGCACTGGTTTGCGGGGCAGTCCCACAGAGCACTGGTTTGCGGGGCAGTCCCACAGAGCACTGGTTTGCGGGGCAGTCCCACAGAGCACTGGTTTGCGGGGCAGTCCCACAGAGCACTGGTTTGCGGGGCAGTCCCACAGAGCACTGGTTTGCGGGGCAGTCCCACAGAGCACTGGTTTGCGGGGCAGTCCCACAGAGCACTGGTTTGCGGGGCAGTCCCACAGAGCACTGGTTTGCGGGGCAGTCCCACAGAGCACTGGTTTGCGGGGCAGTCCCACAGAGCACTGGTTTGCGGGGCAGTCCCACAGAGCACTGGTTTGCGGGGCAGTCCCACAGAGCACTGGTTTGCGGGGCAGTCCCACAGAGCACTGGTTTGCGGGGCAGTCCCACAGAGCACTGGTTTGCGGGGCAGTCCCACAGAGCACTGGTTTGCGGGGCAGTCCCACAGAGCACTGGTTTGCGGGGCAGTCCCACAGAGCACTGGTTTGCGGGGCAGTCCCACAGAGCACTGGTTTGCGGGGCAGTCCCACAGAGCACTGGTTTGCGGGGCAGTCCCACAGAGCACTGGTTTGCGGGGCAGTCCCACAGAGCACTGGTTTGCGGGGCAGTCCCACAGAGCACTGGTTTGCGGGGCAGTCCCACAGAGCACTGGTTTGCGGGGCAGTCCCACAGAGCACTGGTTTGCGGGGCAGTCCCACAGAGCACTGGTTTGCGGGGCAGTCCCACAGAGCACTGGTTTGCGGGGCAGTCCCACAGAGCACTGGTTTGCGGGGCAGTCCCACAGAGCACTGGTTTGCGGGGCAGTCCCACAGAGCACTGGTTTGCGGGGCAGTCCCACAGAGCACTGGTTTGCGGGGCAGTCCCACAGAGCACTGGTTTGCGGGGCAGTCCCACAGAGCACTGGTTTGCGGGGCAGTCCCACAGAGCACTGGTTTGCGGGGCAGTCCCACAGAGCACTGGTTTGCGGGGCAGTCCCACAGAGCACTGGTTTGCGGGGCAGTCCCACAGAGCACTGGTTTGCGGGGCAGTCCCACAGAGCACTGGTTTGCGGGGCAGTCCCACAGAGCACTGGTTTGCGGGGCAGTCCCACAGAGCACTGGTTTGCGGGGCAGTCCCACAGAGCACTGGTTTGCGGGGCAGTCCCACAGAGCACTGGTTTGCGGGGCAGTCCCACAGAGCACTGGTTTGCGGGGCAGTCCCACAGAGCACTGGTTTGCGGGGCAGTCCCACAGAGCACTGGTTTGCGGGGCAGTCCCACAGAGCACTGGTTTGCGGGGCAGTCCCACAGAGCACTGGTTTGCGGGGCAGTCCCACAGAGCACTGGTTTGCGGGGCAGTCCCACAGAGCACTGGTTTGCGGGGCAGTCCCACAGAGCACTGGTTTGCGGGGCAGTCCCACAGAGCACTGGTTTGCGGGGCAGTCCCACAGAGCACTGGTTTGCGGGGCAGTCCCACAGAGCACTGGTTTGCGGGGCAGTCCCACAGAGCACTGGTTTGCGGGGCAGTCCCACAGAGCACTGGTTTGCGGGGCAGTCCCACAGAGCACTGGTTTGCGGGGCAGTCCCACAGAGCACTGGTTTGCGGGGCAGTCCCACAGAGCACTGGTTTGCGGGGCAGTCCCACAGAGCACTGGTTTGCGGGGCAGTCCCACAGAGCACTGGTTTGCGGGGCAGTCCCACAGAGCACTGGTTTGCGGGGCAGTCCCACAGAGCACTGGTTTGCGGGGCAGTCCCACAGAGCACTGGTTTGCGGGGCAGTCCCACAGAGCACTGGTTTGCGGGGCAGTCCCACAGAGCACTGGTTTGCGGGGCAGTCCCACAGAGCACTGGTTTGCGGGGCAGTCCCACAGAGCACTGGTTTGCGGGGCAGTCCCACAGAGCACTGGTTTGCGGGGCAGTCCCACAGAGCACTGGTTTGCGGGGCAGTCCCACAGAGCACTGGTTTGCGGGGCAGTCCCACAGAGCACTGGTTTGCGGGGCAGTCCCACAGAGCACTGGTTTGCGGGGCAGTCCCACAGAGCACTGGTTTGCGGGGCAGTCCCACAGAGCACTGGTTTGCGGGGCAGTCCCACAGAGCACTGGTTTGCGGGGCAGTCCCACAGAGCACTGGTTTGCGGGGCAGTCCCACAGAGCACTGGTTTGCGGGGCAGTCCCACAGAGCACTGGTTTGCGGGGCAGTCCCACAGAGCACTGGTTTGCGGGGCAGTCCCACAGAGCACTGGTTTGCGGGGCAGTCCCACAGAGCACTGGTTTGCGGGGCAGTCCCACAGAGCACTGGTTTGCGGGGCAGTCCCACAGAGCACTGGTTTGCGGGGCAGTCCCACAGAGCACTGGTTTGCGGGGCAGTCCCACAGAGCACTGGTTTGCGGGGCAGTCCCACAGAGCACTGGTTTGCGGGGCAGTCCCACAGAGCACTGGTTTGCGGGGCAGTCCCACAGAGCACTGGTTTGCGGGGCAGTCCCACAGAGCACTGGTTTGCGGGGCAGTCCCACAGAGCACTGGTTTGCGGGGCAGTCCCACAGAGCACTGGTTTGCGGGGCAGTCCCACAGAGCACTGGTTTGCGGGGCAGTCCCACAGAGCACTGGTTTGCGGGGCAGTCCCACAGAGCACTGGTTTGCGGGGCAGTCCCACAGAGCACTGGTTTGCGGGGCAGTCCCACAGAGCACTGGTTTGCGGGGCAGTCCCACAGAGCACTGGTTTGCGGGGCAGTCCCACAGAGCACTGGTTTGCGGGGCAGTCCCACAGAGCACTGGTTTGCGGGGCAGTCCCACAGAGCACTGGTTTGCGGGGCAGTCCCACAGAGCACTGGTTTGCGGGGCAGTCCCACAGAGCACTGGTTTGCGGGGCAGTCCCACAGAGCACTGGTTTGCGGGGCAGTCCCACAGAGCACTGGTTTGCGGGGCAGTCCCACAGAGCACTGGTTTGCGGGGCAGTCCCACAGAGCACTGGTTTGCGGGGCAGTCCCACAGAGCACTGGTTTGCGGGGCAGTCCCACAGAGCACTGGTTTGCGGGGCAGTCCCACAGAGCACTGGTTTGCGGGGCAGTCCCACAGAGCACTGGTTTGCGGGGCAGTCCCACAGAGCACTGGTTTGCGGGGCAGTCCCACAGAGCACTGGTTTGCGGGGCAGTCCCACAGAGCACTGGTTTGCGGGGCAGTCCCACAGAGCACTGGTTTGCGGGGCAGTCCCACAGAGCACTGGTTTGCGGGGCAGTCCCACAGAGCACTGGTTTGCGGGGCAGTCCCACAGAGCACTGGTTTGCGGGGCAGTCCCACAGAGCACTGGTTTGCGGGGCAGTCCCACAGAGCACTGGTTTGCGGGGCAGTCCCACAGAGCACTGGTTTGCGGGGCAGTCCCACAGAGCACTGGTTTGCGGGGCAGTCCCACAGAGCACTGGTTTGCGGGGCAGTCCCACAGAGCACTGGTTTGCGGGGCAGTCCCACAGAGCACTGGTTTGCGGGGCAGTCCCACAGAGCACTGGTTTGCGGGGCAGTCCCATGGTTTGTCTCCCACCGCAGGCTCTGCTCTCTCCCCTACCCTACCCCCACTCACCTGTCCACAAAGATCCCCCAGCATTCCACTAAGCACAGCGGTCCCACAGATCACAGGTGAATAGTCTGCACTGCAGGCTCTGCCCTTTCCGTTACTGTCACTTGTTAATATCCCCCAGAAGCCGTGCAGAGTATAGGTGGGGTCGAGGTGCATGCGCGAGCCCAGCGGTCCCACAGAGCAGAGGAGTATAGCATGGCATGCACTACAGGCTTGGCTGCATCGCTGCACTGAAGCCTCCGCTCACTCCCCTGCTGCCACTCTACCACTCACTTAACGAATATTCCCCAGAAGCCGTGCAGGGTAATAGTGGGGTCCAATTGGGTGCGTGGAGATCAGCGGTCCGCCAGAGCACAGGCTTATACTCTGTAGGCAGCCTGCATCGCTCTGTTTCCCTACCCCACTCACTTGTCCACAAAGATCCCCCAGAAGCCGTGCAGGGTATAAGTGGGGTCGAGGTGCGTGCGCGGGGCCCAGCGGTCCGCCAGCGGCTTGAGCCCCTTGGCCTTGTCCTCCTCCTTCTCGCCCTCGCCCGTCAGCATCAGCACCAGCGCCGTCTGGTCGTCTGCCGGCCAGTTCTTGCGTTTCTGTAAGGGTAGCATCCGAGGTAAGTGAGTGAATGAGGGGGAGAGTGCGAGACGGGGGGGGGGGGGGGAAGGAAGGGAGGTCCAGCGATCTGCCAGCGGCTTGAGCCCCTTGGCCCTGTCCTCCTCCTTCTTGCCTTCTCGCCCTCTCCTGTCCGCATCAACACCAGCGCCGTCTGATTGTCCTCCGGCCAGTTCTTGCACTTCTGTGAGGGTAGCATACGAGGGGCGAGAGTGAATCGGGGGGAGAGCGCAAGACAGGGGGGGGGGGGGGGGGGGGGGGGGGGGGGAGAGAAGGGCGGCTCAGTGATTTGCCAGCGGCTTGAGCCCCTAGGCCTTGTCCTCCTCTTTCTCGCCCTCTCCTGTGTGTATCAGCACTAGAGCCGTCTGATCGTCTCCCGGCCAGTTCTTGCGCTTGTGTGGAAACAAGTGGGCGCTTAAGGTGCAGGGGAGGAGTGAAGTGAAGCATGGAAGGGCGGGGGAGGGTGGGCATGGGGCGCAGGCGAGCAGCGAAGGCGGGGGGAAACGGAAGAGGAAACGGGGGTGGAGTGGGGGCGATGCAGGAGAGAGGGGAAGAAGGGGGCGTGAGGAAAAGGTTCAGGGATACGAGAGGGCAACGAGGTGACGAGGGGACAAGAGTGTAACACAAAAGTGATTGAGTCTTTGCTGTGAGGACTCAGCTTCCAAAGCACGAGAGTGAAAAAACAGAATAACATGTGCTCAAATCTTCTGGTGCACCAGCAGGGGGCAGGCAGCACATACCTGGAGTGGAGCACACAGCTGGCGATGTCGCCCCACTTGACTGTGACCTTCTCCGACTGCCCGTACTGCCCCCACACCACTCCCCTGTTATGCCCAGCCAGCATCACTGCGCGCGTCAATCAACTAAGCCATCGCCCACCATGCCACGCAGGCAGCATGCGCCAGGAGCGCCCAGGCAGGCAGGCAGCACGTGCCAAGAGCACCCATGCTAGGCAGCACGCACCTGGAGCACGCGGCTGGCGATCTCGCCCCACTTGACAGTGACCTTCTCCGACCGCCCGTACTGCCCCCAGTCGTCCAGAAAATCCAGCCCCTCCTGATGTGTGCGGAACGCATGAGGGAGTGTTGTGAGATACAAGGGATACAGTGAGGTGCAGAGGGGTGGCGGGCAACCTCCCCACTTGACAGTGTCCTTTTCTGACCGCCCGTACTGGCCCCAGTCGTCCAGAAAGTCCAGCCCCTCGTGATGCATGTGGGCACGGGATGGATGTGAGACACAAGGGAGTGGACGCGGCGCAGGTGAGGTGAGGGGTGGCAGGGAGCAAGCACCTCCGCCCCACTCCAACCGCCCGTAATGCCCCCATTCATCCAGAAAGTCCAGCCCCTCCTGATGTGTGCGGAACGGGAGGGACGGAGCAAGTGCGGGGTCAGATGGGTGGGATGCACGGGTGGGCGGGGATGCACGGGTGGGCGGGGATGCACGGGTGGAGTGCAGGGGTGGGTGGAGTGCAGGGGTGTGAGAAGGTGACACAAGGGGTGGGAGACATTTGGGCAAGTGGAAGGGACGATGACGTGGCAGGATGGCAGTGCAGGGGGGGAAATGCTTACCTGTGAGTTGCGGATGAGGAAGCTTCCCGTGTTGAGCGCCAACCTGGGAATGAGGGCCAAGAGTGGGGAAGAGGGCGAGGAGGGGGCGAGGAGGGGGCGAGGAGGGGGCGAGGAGGGGGGAGGCGGGGGCGAGGAGGGGGCGAGGAGGGGGCGAGGGGAAGACAGCATTGGGGGAGACAAGGGGATGGCGGGACACAGTGCGGATGCAGGCAAGAGGGGGAGCAGAGGGGAGCGGGGGGGATCGGTGTGGAGCGGAAGGGAGGGGAAAGGAAGGGAACGGAAGGGAAGGTTTGGGAGGGAAGGGAAAGGAAGTAAAGCAATGAGAGAGAGGAAGTGGGGACGCAAGGAAGACGGGGGAGCAGGGAAGACAGGGAAGGAGGGACGAGAGATGGTGGAGGGAGGAAGCAGAAAGTGTTATAGCGGCGTGTGAGGCGAGTGACACTCGTCAGACCCTCTCTTTCTCTTTTGAGTCGTGTCTTTCTCTCCCTCTTCCCTCCCTTTCTCCCTCCCTCCCTTTCTCCCTCCCTCCCTCCCTCCCTCCCTCCCTCCCTCCCTCCCTCCCTCCCTCCTCTCTCCCTCCTTCCTTCCCTCCGTGCCTCCCCGTATTTGCCACGTCAGCACTCACCAGTCCTTTTTGCCGTACACATCAGCGTCCAGCCCCGAGAGGACGAGCACCTTGTCCGCCTGCTTCTCTATGGGATAGCGGAACGCCATGTCTGCCAGATGGGGGCGAACGGGGAGGGGAGAGGGTAGGGGAGAGGGGAGGGGAGAGGGAGGAGAGAGGGGAGGGGAGAGGGGAGGAGAGAGGGGAGGGGAGAGGGGAAGGGAGAGGGGAGGAGAGAGAGGGGAGGGGAGGGGAGGAGAGAGGGGGGGAGAGGGGAGGGGAGAGGGGAGGAGAGAGGGGAGGGGAGAGGGGGGACGGGGCGGAGGATCGTTTCTTGTCCGCCTGCTTCTAAATGGGGTACCGGAATGCCATGTCTGCGCAGAGGTGGAGAGGGGCAGACGGGAGAGAACGGGGAAGGAGGGGAGAGAAGGCAAAGGGGCGAAGAACCGGGGGTGTGAGGAACATGCTTTGTCTGCCTGCTTCTCTATGGGGTACCGGAATGCCTTGTCCGCCTGCTTCTCCATGTGGTGCCGGAACGCCATGTCTGCAAGATGGGGAAGAACGGGGGGGTGAGAGGGGAGGGGAGAGGGGGGACGGGGCGGAGGATCGTTTCTTGCCCGCCTGCTTCTCCATGGGGTACCGGAACGCCATGTCTGCACGCCCGCGCCAGGCGGGAATTCGGACGGGGGAGAAACGAGGGGAAGGGGAGCGGGTCATGTATTGTCCGCCTGCTTGGGGTGCCGGAACGACATGCCTGCACGCTGGGCCAGGAGAGGAGGGGGGAAGGGGAGAAGGGGTGGGGGGGGGGGGGGGCAAACGGGGAACGGGGAGGGTGAGCATCATGCCTTGTCCGCCCCCTGACCATTGCCAGCCGTTGCTGACCGTTGCCAACCGTTGCCGACCGTTGCTGACAGTCGCGGACTGCCGAGCCCGAGATTAATCAAACCCAAGCCAGAACCAAGCGTACCTCCCAATCCAGACCCACCTTCCAAACCAAACCCACCTCCCCATCCAAACCTATCTCCCGAACCTCCGCTCCCCCCTAGTCCCCTCACCAGTGATCATGGCATCGGACTCGACCCAGAGGAACCACTCCACGTCGGGGTGCTGCAGCATGAGCATGCGCCGACCGTTGCGCCTGAAACAACTGAACCCCAATCCAAACCTACCGTCCCAACCTACCGCCCCACCTACCGTCCCATCCAAACCCACCTCCTAGTCCCCTCACCAGTAATCATGGCGTCCGAGTCGACCCAGAGGAACCACTCCACGTCGGGGTGCTGCAGCATGAGCACACCGTTGCGTCTGATGAGGAGACTGTTGTTAACCCACATCCATTCCCATGCTACTTCCCAACCCTTGGCTACTCCTCGTGCCCCTCTCACCAGTGATCATGGCATCCGAGTCGACCCAGAAGAACCACTCCACATCCGGGTGTTGCAGCATGAGCTGACCATTGCTGACCGTTGCTGACCACTGCTGACCGTTGCACCTGAAACCACTCAAGTCCAACCAACCCAAACCTACCTCCCCATTGAACGAGACCACCCTATCCAAGCCTACCTCCCAGGCCCCCTCACCAGTGATCATGGCGTCCGAGTCGACCCAGAGGAACCACTCCACATCGGGGTGCTGCAGCATGAGCATGCGCAGCATGGGCAGCTTCACCCAGAACGTCTTCAGCCGCGGGTCAATCGCGCCCATGCCGTAGTAAAACGGTATGTCGTTCAGCCGCGCGTAGTCCTGCTTGTTCTTGAGGAACTTGAGGAGCAAGAAGTCGCCGCTGTTGGGGCCCTCGCCGCAGCGCTTGCTGTTGGAGCCCGACACGAGCATCACCTTGGGCTTGCCGTCGCGCGACACGTTGCACCCCGGGTGCGCCGCGATGTACGCGTTCCGCTGCTCGTCCCAGTCTGCAGCGGGGCGGGAACGGGAGAAGCGGTGAGCGAGTGTATTGCGCGGGGGGGAAAGGGGGAACGGGAGAAGCGGTGAGCGAGTGTATTGCGCGGGGGGGAAAGGGGGAACGGGAGAAGCGGTGAGCGAGTGTATTGCGCGGGGGGGAAAGGGGGAACGGGAGAAGCGGTGAGCGAGTGTATTGCGCGGGGGGGAAAGGGGGAACGGGAGAAGCGGTGAGCGAGTGTATTGCGTGAAAACCGAAATCATCATTCATTCCTTCGCCTCGTCGCTGCGATATAAGCAACATCGCCACCCGTCACGACGTGTGATGTGTTTGTTTTGTGAACAGAGAGTCTTGAGCGTGCAGTCTAGCTGCGAAAGGAGGGGAGCGGAGGGGAAGGAAGGGGTGGCTGTGGAATTCAAGCATGCTTGGAGCAGCTTAGAGCAGCACACGTTTTGCAATGAACAGCTATCCCCGACGCCTCGCAACCGCCGGGACATTCGATGCGAACGGCGCACCGCGTTGGACGAAGCCACGGATCGCGCAACTTGAGGCCTCCGTTGTTCCAGAGAGACTTCGCAAAACGCCTCGCCATTCCAAATAGATTACCACGGATGTCTTGCTTTTTCGACGAGCATACCGCTGTCTTGAGCATCAGGCAGTGACGACCGCGGTTGACCTACCCTTGAGCCGCAGTTGACCTACCCTTGACCCGCAGTTGACCTACCCTTGAGCCGCAGTTGACCTACCCTTGACCCGCAGTTGACCTACCCTTGAGCCGCAGTTGACCTACCCTTGACTCGCGGCTCCATGTAGAGAGGCTCCTCCTCGGCATCGAACGCTCTCTTTGGGAACCATAATACCCATGCTCACCGTGAAGCACACAATGAGTTCGCCTCGTAGTTAACCTACCCTTGACCCGCGGCTCCATGTAGTAAGGCCCCTCCTCAGCGTCAGAAGCTGCCTGGCCCTCTCCCTCGCTCTCCGGTTCTTCCGGCGCGAGGAGCGCCGCATCTTCCGCCTGGAGTTTGCGCAGCGCCGTGGCGCTGAGGTTGTCGTTCAGGGTGCTCTTACGAGACGGAAGAATAGACGGAAACCGTCCGTTGTAAACGAGAAAGATCAGCGTCAGCAGCACTCCGACAATAACCGCCTGCTCCCCGCTGGAACGGCGGCGGTTACCCGCCTTACGGTTTCCAGGCTGTGCCATGATGGCGGGGGTCTAAGCAGCTCTGAGCCCTGGAGCGTTCCCTAGATCCGCTGGCAAGTTTCAAAACACTCAAAAGCGGATGTTTTTGTAAAAGTCAGAAAATATGGGCACAGTGCGGATTTTTTTCTTCGAGCCGACAACCACAACAAGACCCTCAGCACACACCACACAGCACACCGATCCACAGCCGGAGTAAGGTGCCTACCGAACAAGGTTTACTGAACAAGGCCAGGTAAATGATATTGTCGGTATTCTCGAGGTGCTCCCTACTGTGAAGAGCTTGGGATTCTTGAGGTGGCGCTTGGCGGAGGCAGAGAGGAAGAAGTGAATCTTCAACGGACTCCTTCGACCAGATCCTTCCACAGATCCCAGATTTCAACCCCTGCAACTTCGCTCTGCAAACCTTCCGTGTCGGGGTAGCAAATCTCTGACACACGCTGAGCCAGACTTTGTTGAGATTCAACGGACGGCCTCGATCATTGCTGAGGCTTGTGCCTTGTCAGGATAAGGGCGTGTTACAATTGTTTTTTTCCCGTCCGGACGGTACCTGTCGGTAAGACTGTGTGGTTACGACACTCGTTCAATATCAGCAGTGGGTTCGTCAGGGTCTAAACGACGTCGCATGCTTCGTATTGTTTACCTACGACATCGCATTGGTCGTAACGCGACCGCAAGACATCGCAATCTTCGCACGGTCCGGACAGCCGTCCGGACTTTCAGCGATTTCAAAACATGTAACACGCCCTGATGCTTCGCTGCAACTCGTGGGGCAGGTAGAAAACGATGGCTGCACGAATCATTAGTGGCGGCGGGAAATGCTCAATCGGTCAAGCGAAACTGGCTGCTTCGGTTTAGAAGTCGGTTCGTTTGTGCAGAAGTGATGATGCCAAAGAGGAGGAACGTAAGGATATGAAACATTCCTGAGCGGCGTGGAAGGGATCGGTGTGGAATCAGGTGTGAGGCAAGGCTGCCCGTTAGCACCTTACCTCTTCCTGTGCGCGGTTGAGCCGTTGGTGCAAGAGGTGGAGAAGAGGCAACTGGGGGTTTGTGACACAGCATCGGGGAAGCGCTTGGCTGTCAAATGTTGTAGCCTATAGTGAGGTTTGTCTTAGGGGGTACAAAACTTAGGGTTAGCTATATGTACCCCAACCAACATCAATGCATCATCCATTCCTCATTCTGACATGGTACAGAGCTGGTTCTTTCCCGGAACCTTCTCTTTTTTTTAAGAATCATGGGCCCGCCCGTACTACAGCGCGAAATGCGCTATTTTTTTCTCCCCGTTCGCCCGTCACACGCGCCCTGCCCGTCCCCCCGAACGTGCCACGTCGGCTGCCTCGCGGACGCCCCGTCGGCTGCCCCGCGGACGCCCTGCCCGTCGCCCGCTGCCCCCCAGTTCCCGTCGTCCGCGAACCCCGTTTCGTCGCCTCGCGGCCCCCCGTTCCGTCGCCAGCGCCCGCGCCAGCCCGGACCGCAGGCGCCGCCGCCAGCGTGGCCCGTCAGCGCGGACGCCACCACCGCGGCCAGCCGCCACCGCCAGCGCCAGCAGCAGCTACCGCCAGCGCCAGCCGCCCGCGCCAGCGCCAGCAGCAGCTACCGCCAGCGCCAGCAGCAGCTACCGCCAGCGCCAGCAGCAGCTACCGCCAGCGCCAGCAGCAGCTACCGCCAGCGCCAGCAGCAGCTACCGCCAGCGCCAGCAGCAGCTACCGCCGCCCTGCCCCCTCCTGCCAGCAGCAGCTACCGCCGCCCTGCCCCCTCCCTCCTGCTACCTTGGATATGCCGATGACACCACCCTGGTCGTGGAGGGGAAGCAGCAAATCAAAGTGGCTGAGGAGGTGTTAGAGGACTTTGAGAAAAAATCAGGCCTGGCAACAAACAAAGAGAAGTCGGTGGTGCTGCCGCTGGGGGCGAATTTGGGCATGCCTTCGGAAGGATCGTTCAAATGGGCAAGGCCGAAAGACGCAGAACGACTTCTGGGTGTATGGGTCACTCCGACGGTAGCTGCCTGCCAACATGGGAAAAGACCTTGGGAGGTGTTACAAAAAAGCTGACAAATTGGCGACAAAAGTATCTCACGGAAAAGGCGCGGACGGCTGTGGCGAACTGCTACATCTCGCCGATGATCGCTTTCCAGGCGCAGGTGTATCCTCCTCCAAAAGAGATTTGGGGAGAGACAGAGAGGCTACTGCACAACTTTGTCTCCAGGAACACAGCAACCCCGGCGAAAGACTTCGTGCTGTGGAGCAAGGAGCTGCTTTACACGCCGCAGAAGGGGGGGGGGGCTTCGAGTGCAAGTGTTGAAACTAACAGACAGGAATGATTGCATTGAAAGAATTGAGGGTACAAGTACTAACCCTAGAACTGGGTTGTACCCCTTTTGGGCTACCCCACTATAGCCTACACGTTATGTATAGCATATAGTTTGACACACCCCCATAGGCAGAGTGGGGGAGAACAAGTGGTCGCAAGACCAGTCAAAACAAGTAATGCAAGCTCAGGGTGGATCACGAAGTCACCACACATTCCGAGCACAAGCAAATGGCCACAAGGCCAGTTCACATGCAGAGTTATATACGACAAAGCAAGCAATATAGTGATCACAACCTAGCAAATGTAAGCATGCAAGGACAGATATATAGATCACAGTACAAACAAGGTCAAGCAGTGAGCAAGTGAGAGATTGTAGGCACGAGGCCTAGAGCGGTGCAGTGCCGCGGATGATCACTAGGCGGAAGTGCCCTGGTGAATATATCAGCAGTGTTGGCTCGCATGTCCACGTAAGCAAGACGAAGCTGGCCACGCTGCTGCAGCTCTCGAGCAAGAAAGTAACGCAGAGCGATGTGCTTCGTTCCGTGCTCCAGTCTGTGCTCCTGACACAAGGCGAGGGCTGCCTTGTTGTCGCCGTACAGAACTAGAGGAGAACGAGGCCGCTCTCCCAAGTCAGTCAGCAGATAGGTGAGCCAGCGTAACTCCTGTGCAGCCATGGCTGTGGTGTAGATCTCAGCCTCACAACTAGAGCTGAGAACAGAAGAAGAGCGGGTAGACCGCCAAGAGACAGAGCCGGAACCAAGGCTGAAGGTGTAACCCTGTGACGATCGCTGCGTAGCCAGGTCGTCAACGTCACCCCGTCCTCCAAAAACCAGCCCCATGCCTGATGTACTGCACAAGTAGCGCAGCACCCTCTTAGCAGCCTCCCAGTGCTCTCGCCGGTGTCTCCCAGGCGCAACGTAGCGAGCTAGGATGCTAAGAGGGTACGCAAGGTCAGGTTGAGTGCAGGTCATTAGGTACATGAGGCAGCCCACAAGCTCTAGGTACGGGCCACTTGGCTCTACGGACTCGTCCGAAGGTGGAGCTGAGAGCGAGTGACGTGTAGACAGAGGAGTGGACTGTGGTGAGGAGTACTGGAAGTCGAAGCGCTGAAGGATCTGCTGCACCATGTGTGACTGGGTCAGGGTAATGGTGCGGCGTGCTCTGTCCCTGGTGATCTGCAAGCCAAGGTAGCTGCGCAGCTCACCCAGGTCTGTGCACGTGTGTCTCTTCTGCAACTCCGACTTCACAAGGGCGAGTGCCTCAGTGTCAGTAGTGGCAAAGACCAAGTCGTCGACGTATACGAGGATGTAGAACGGCGTCAATGAAGTGTCGGTGCGAAGAAACAGCGACGGGTCAGCAGTGGAGGGAGCAAACCCAAGAGCCGCAAGTGTCATCCTCAGTGTGTCGTGCCACTCACGAGGCGCCTGGCGGAGACCGTAGACTAGCCGCCGGAGGCTCCACTGGGTACCACGAGGGAACGACCCAGTGAAGCCAGGTGGGCGGCGCAGCCAGATCTCCTCGTGCAAGCTGCCCTGCAAGAAAGCTGTGTTGAAGTCAAGAGAGTGAAGCTCGTAGTCACGCTGTGCGGCAACGTGCAGCAGTACCCGAAGAGTGGTCATCTTCGGGGTAGGGGAGAAGGTCTAGAAGAAGTCAACTCCTTGCCGCTGACTAATGCCTCGTGCCATGTAACGAGCCTTGAAGACAAGCAGAGAACCCGACGGCCGCTTCACCCTGAAAATCCACATGCCATCGACTATGTTCGCCCCAGGAGGGGGAACCTCGTCGACGTAGGTGCCTATGGACTTCCAGGATGCCATCTCTGTGTCCATGGCTGTCTGCCACTGAGAGAAGTAGGGACCCGAAATTGCCTCTGCTAAAGAGCGTGGGGTCGGGATGTCCAGTGCATCCGGGTCTCCCTCAGGTGCAAGCCACACGCCGCCCTCCAGGAGTAATAGTATCAACCCATACATCCTGAAGGAGTAAAGGTATCAACCCATACATCCTGAAGGATAGCGGTGCTCACCAAGTTCGTTGAGAACGAGGGGAGGTGGAGACCTGTCGGAAAGAACGAACAGGAATGATGAACTAACAGTCCAAAACAGTACAAGTACCTAACCCTAGAATTGTGTACCCCTTATAGGCTAACCCACTGTAGCCTACACAAGCATAACATATATAATGTTTGACACACCCCCATAGGCAAAGTGGGGGAGAACTAGGGGTCACAAGACCAGTCAAGGCAGAGCAAGGCAAAACAAGCTCAGGGTGGATCTCAAGGATTCCACACAAATTCTGAGCACAAGCAAGCAGTCACAAGACCAGTTCACATGCAGGTTTATAATAGAGCAAGAGGTACAATGATCACAACCTAGCAGGAGTAAACATGCAGGTATATATATAAAGATCACAGTACAAACAGAGTCAAGAAGTGAGCAAGTGAGGTCCAGTAGGCACAAGACCTAGGAGAGTGCAAAAGCGCTGATGGTCACAAGGCTGAAGCGCCTTGGTGAACACATCAGCAGTGTTGGCCTCAGTGGCCACGTAACGGAGACAAAGCTGACCACGCTGCTGAAGCTCTCGAGCAAGGAAGTACCGCAGAGCGATGTGCTTCGTTCTGTGCTCCAGTCTGTGCTCCTCACACAAGGCAATTGCAGCCTTGTTGTCAACGTACAGCACTGGAGGGGAACGAGGCCGCTCTCCCAAGTCAGTCAGCAGGTAGGTCAGCCAGCGTAGCTCCTGGGCCGCCATGGCTGTGGCGTAGATCTCAGCCTCACAACTGGAGCTGAGAACAGAAGAAGAACGTGTAGAACGCCAAGAAACTGAGCCAGAGCCAAGGCTGAAGGTGTAACCCTGAGACGACCGCTGCGTAGCCTGGTCGTCGGCCCAAGAAGCGTCTGAGTGTCCAGTGAGTACAACACGGTCTCGCCCTCCAAGCACTAGCCCCATGCCCGACGTACTGCACAAGTAGCGCAACACCCTCTTAGCGGCATCCATGTGCTCCTTCCTGTGACGGCCAGGAGCGACATAGCGTGCAAGGATGCTAAGAGGGTATGCAAGGTCAGGTCGAGTGCAGGTCATCAGGTACATGAGGCAGCCAACAAGCTCTGGATACGGGCCACTCGACTCTACGGACTCATCCGAAGGAAGAGCTGAGAGCGAGTGACCTGTAGGCAGAGGAGTGGCCTGAGGCGAGGAGTACGTGAAGCCGAAGCGCTGAAGGACCTGCTGCACCATGTGTGACTGAGTCAAGGTGATGGTGCGCCGTGCTCTGTCCCGAGTGATCCGCAAGCCAAGGTAGCTTGTCAGTTCACCCAGGTCTGTGCACGTGTGTCGCTTCTGCAGCTCGGACTTCACGTGGGCGAGTGCCTGAGTGTCAGCAGTGGCAAAGACCAAGTCGTCGACGTACACGAGGATGTAGAACGGCGGCAGCGAGGTGTCAGTGCGTAGAAACAGCGACGGGTCAGCAGTAGAAGGCGCGAACCCAAGAGCCGCGAGTGTCGTCCTCAGTGTGTCGTGCCACTCACGTGGCGCCTGGCGGAGACCGTAGACTGGCCGCTGGAGCCTCCACTGGGTACCAGGAGGGAACGACCCAGTGAAGCCAGGAGGGCGGCGCAGCCAGATCTCCTCGTGCAGACTGCCCTGCAAGAAAGCAGTGCTGAAGTCAAGAGAGTGAAGCTCGTAGTCTCGCTGAGCGGCTATGTGCAGCAGCACCCGAAGAGTAGTCATCTTCGGGGTGGGGGAGAAGGTCTGGAAGAAGTCTACTCCCTCGCGCTGACTGAAGCCACGAGCCACGTAACGCGCCTTGAAGACAGGCGGAGAACCTGACGGCCGCTTCACCCTGAAAATCCACATGCCACTGACGATGTTCGCCCCAGGTGGGGGAACCTCGTCGACGTAGGTGCCTGTGGACTTCCAGGGTCCGCAACACCAGCAGCAGCTCCACCGGCCGGGTCCGCAGCACCAGCAGCAGCTCCACCGCCCGGGGCCTCAGCACCAGCAGCAGCTCCACCGTCCGCGTCCTCAGCACCAGCAGCAGCTCCACCGTCCGGGTCCTCAGCACCAGTAGCAGCTCCACCGTCCGGGTCCCCAGCACCAGCAGCAGCTCCACCGTCCGGGTCCTCAGCACCAGCAGCAGCTCCACCGTCCGGGTCCGCGGCACCAGGGGCTCCACTCCGAAGACTGCAGCGCCGCGTGTACCACTCTCGGATCTGCTGAAGGGAGGGGAGCTCCCGGGGAGGTGGGGAAGCACGGGTACCGGCGCCAGGAGCACCCCTCCGGAGGCTGCAGTACCGGAGGTACCTCTCCTGCAGCTGCTGGGAGGAGAGGGCTCCTCCAGGTGTAGCACGCTCAGGCTCAGCACCACCAGACTCAGCACCCCCAGACTCAGCACCCCCAGTCTCAGCACCTCCAGGCTCAGCACCTCCAGGCTCAGCACCTCCAGGCTCCGCACCTCCAGGCTCAGCACCCCCAGTCTCAGCACCTCCAGACTCAGCACCTCCAGGCTCAGCACCCCCAGTCTCAGCACCCCCAGGCTCAGCACCCCCAGGCTCAGTACCCCGAGGAGGACGCGACTCGACGGCTACCTCGACAGGCTCAACGGGGTCTACCTGAGACACACCTGAGGGAGCGGCACCCTGAGGGGGGAGGGGCTCTACAACAGCAGCACCTGGCGCGAGGAAGAGAGGCGGAGGGGGGAGCGGGGCAGTGCGGTAGGGGAAGAGACGGTAGAAGGGGACCGACTCGTCGAACGTGACGTCCTGAGAGGGGAAGACACGACGCGAGGCAGGGTGGTAAAACTGCCAGCCAGACGCGTCAGGGACAAAACCAAGGAAGACACAGGGGACAGCTCGACGAGAGAGCTTGTCCGCGGACGTGTCGCGGACAAAGGCACGAGATCCCCAGACGCGGAACACCGACGCATCGCCAACCTCTCCCGTCCAACGCAGTGTCGGCGAGGTCTCCGGAGCGGAGACACGGGGCCAGAGGTTGAGCTGATGCGCGGCGTACCGGACAGCAAACGGCCACAGAAAATGGGGGGCAGCCGCATGGACCAAGGAGGTACGAGCGACCTCCATGACCAGGCCAATGCGGCGCTCAGCAACCCCATTCTGCTGCGGAGAGGCCGGAAGCGTGAACGTCTGCTCAATGCCCTCCTCCTGACAGAAGGCGCGCAAGAGGTCGGAGGAAAACTCACCGCCCCTATCAGAGTGCAGTCGCAGGACCGGAAGGTCCGAGCGAAAGCGCCGCTCCAGCTGGAGACGAGTAGCGCGGATCCAAGGGATCAAGACATCAGGGACCTCACCCTTGGTGCGCAAGGGGAAGACCGTGGTGTAGCGCGTGTAGTCGTCAACTACCAGCAGAAAGTAGCGCTCCCCGCCCTGTCCACGGACGCGGGCGGGGCCCCACACGTCCAGGTGGAGTGTCTGCAGAGGAGCCTCCGTCGGGGGAAACGCAGAAGAGTGAGGAGCGGCGCGCTGCCGCCCCTCGACACAGGGAATACAGGGAGGAGCCGGCGAGGGTGGGAGGGGAGGGAGAACCCTGGGAAGACCAGAAACAAGGTACCGCTGGTGCATGGTCCGAAGGCGCTGCACGGACGGGTGGCCAAGTCGGTGGTGCCAGAGGACGGTGTCGTGCGCGAGAGACCGACACGAGCAGGGGGCGGACAGCTGACCTGACGCAGACGCAGACGCAGCCACCTGTGGGGACCCAGTGGTCAGTGTGTACAGGTCCGACCCTGGCTCCCGAGTGAAGGTAGCCAGGTGACGACCCGTCCGAGCACACGTGCAGTGTGTCACACGCTCGTAGGCAGGGGTGAACTGGTGAACACCCCCGTCCTGGAGCGCGCTACCTGCCACCAAGTTCGTAGAGAACGAGGGGAGGTAGAGCCCTGACAGTGTGCCGGACGGGACCGCCGGACAGGGAAGGACAGTGGAGGAGGTCGCAATGACCGGACCCCCAGAGGGGTCAGCGAGGGAGACAGCAACTGGCCGAGCAAGTGGCTCAAGGACAGTGCGGTCACGAAAGAAACAGCGTGAAGCACCTGAGTCCAGGGTGAAGGTGTGCAGTGCCTCAGTCGACTCAGTACCAGGGGGGACAGACGCACGAGCACCTAGAGCGACAGCCTCACCATCACCTGAGGGAGCAGACACGCAAGTACCTGCAGCGGCAGTCTCACTAGCACCTGGAGCGGCAGTCTCACTGGTCAGAATGCCCGGGTCGGGCGGAACACACAAGTACTGAGCACCCTCTCCACTAGTAAACATGGCATACATGGCAGTGAGAATAGCATCAAAGTCTAGAGCCCAGATATCAACCCCCTTCCTCTCCAGATCAGCCCAGCGGGGCAGCTCAGCGCCATCAGGGAACTGGGTGCGCCAAGCGTCGGTAAGGCGCGCGAAACAGCGCTGCGTGGGGTGCGGCCTCCCACACTGCTGACCAGTGCGGTCACCAGTGCGGATGACATACGTGCAGCTAAGACGCTGGGCATACCACTCACGGGCCTCCTGGAGCGACGGAGTGTGCTGCTGGCTCAGACCACCGCCAGCGCCTCCACGGCCACCACCACTGCCGCCACCTCCGCGACCACCGCCTCCCCTGCCGCTGCCACGACCACCTCCGCCCCCACCGCCGCCCCCGCCCCTGCCACCACCCCCGCCGCTGCCGTCACCACCCCCACTGCCGCCACTAGCCTCTCCAGCCCCTCCTCCACTCCCACCGCCCCCGCCGCCACCTCCACCCTTGCCCCCTCTCGTCCTGCGGCGCCCGCTCGAAGCAGACGCGGTCCCGACCTTCTCAGCACCAAGAAGGTCGACAGCAGAAGCAGAGGCGACAGAGGGAAGGAGGGGGGAAGGGGAACACCCCTCAAAGAAAGGAGTGCGGGGGTCACCACGAGAGGCACCTACAGCGACGACACTCGCCTCGGCTGCAAGTAGCTCCTTCTCGAGGAGGGCAATGGTGAGCTCAGTGGGGCAGCGAGCTAGAAACTGGTCCCTGACTGCGCGCAGAGAGTCAGGGAGGCGGGTGACTAGGTGGTAGAGAACGAGCCAGAGCGGGGGGGAGTCGTTAGCTAGGAACTCGGCAGGCATAGCAGCGCGGAAGCGGGCCTCACTAGTCTTGAGGTGGGTGATGAGGTCAGCAACGGTGTGGAAGGAGGCCAGGTCGGGGAACAGGTAGGGGAGGGAGAGGCGGCCTAGTGCGGCAGAAGCAGGCGAGGAGTAGCGAGCAACTACAGCAGTGTACAGGTCCTTAGCAGTCTTGTGCTGGCCAAAGTGCTCGCGCTCATCTAGCGGCAGGGAGTTGCGAATGGCAAAGCGAGCGTGAGCGTCACGAGTCTGCCACTGTGAGCGCTGAGTGCTGTCAGCAGTAGTAGGAGGGGCAGTAGCGTGGCCTAGGGCGTGATCGTACAGTGAAATATCTTCCTTGGCAGTGAGCTGTAGGTAGAGGTGCAGGTCATCAAGCCAGGTGTCAAACTTCACTGGGCGGCCCTCAGTGTCAAAAGCGAGTACAGGAGGAGTAGCCATAGCAGCAGTAGCAGTGGCAGTAGCAGCAGTAGGAGTAGCAGTAGCAGTAGTGTAGTGCAGGTAGGACAGCGCGGCTCGGCTAGGGCTGTGCGGCTCGGCTAGGGCGGCGCGGCTCGGTTCGGGGCGCGCGGCTCGGCTCGGTCTGGGCGGCTCGGTTCGGGTCGCGCGACTCGGGTTGGATCGGGCGGCTGTAGCAGTTGCGGGGCCGTTCGGGGCCGCTAGGGGCTAGCGCGGGGCCGTTCGGGGCCGTTCGGGGCCTCTAGGGGCGAGCGCGGGGCCGTACAGGGCCGTAAGGGGCGGGCGCGGGGCCGTTCGGGGCCTCTAGAGGCGAGTGCGGGGCCGTACAGGGCCGTGAGGGGCGGGCGCGGGGCCGTTCGGGGCCGTGAGGGGCGAGCGCGGGGCCGATCGGGGCCGCTAGGGGCTAGCGCGGGGCCGTTCGGGGCCTCTAGGGGCGAGCGCGGGGCCGTACGGGGCCGTAAGGGGTGAGCGCGGGGCCGTTCGGGGCCTCTAGGGGCGAGCGCGGGGCCGTACAGGGCCGTAAGGGGCGGGCGCGGGGCCGTTCGGGGCCGTAAGGGGCGAGCGCGGGGCCGATCGGGGCCGCTAGGAGCGAGCGCGGGGCCTTAGGGGGCCGTGAAAAACGAGGCGCCCTAGGGCGCAGGTAGGTAGGTAGGTAGGTAGGTAGTGGTGGGCCCTAAAAAAAACGGTCCTAGCGAAGGACCTGCTCTGAAACCATGTCGGAAAGAACGAACAGGAATGATGAACTAACAGTCCAAAACAGTACAAGTACCTAACCCTAGAATTGTGTACCCCTTATAGGCTAACCCACTGTAGCCTACACAAGCATAACATATATAATGTTTGACAGTGGAGGCCTGACAGTGAGCCAGACGGAACCGCTGGACACGGGAGAACAGTGGAGGAACGTGCAAGAACCGGACCCCCAGAGGGGTCAGCCAGGGAAACTGCGACGGGCCTAGGGAGTGGTGTGAGAGTGGTAATGTCGCGTAAGATACACTGAGAAGCACCTGAGTCAAGAGTGAAGGTGTGCAAGGCCTCAGCAGGCGCAGTACCTGAGAGAGCAGACTCACTAGCACCTAGAGCAGCAGACTCTATACCTGGGTCTGGTGGCATACACAAGTAACAGTCCCCATCAGCACTAACAGTCAATGCATACATGGCAGCAAGGATAGCATCAAAGTCAAGAGCATAGATATCAATATCGCGCTTAAGCAGGTCCGCCCAGCGGGGGAGCTCCACTGCGTCAGGGAACTGGGCGCGCCAAGCGTCGTCAAGGCGGGAGAAACAGCGGTGCTCAGTGTGAAATTTCCCGCATGTCTGACCAACGCGGTCTTTAGTGCGAATGACATACCGGCGGCGAGCACTACCCCCAGACGCCCCACGCTGAGAGTACCACTCACGAAGCTGCTGGGGCGTGAGGGGCTCGTGCGGACGCTGCTGCTGCTGGCGCTGGCCACCACCAGCACCTCCCCGCTGAACAGCTCCACCACGTCCGCCACCACCGCCGCCACCACCGCCGGTACCACCGCTCCCACTGCCGCCACCACCGCCGCCACCACCACCGCCACCTCCACCACCACCACGCCCACCGCTGCCGCCACCGCCGCCACCGACACCTCCACTCCCGCCACCATCCCCACCACCACCACCCCCACCGCCTCCGCCTCCACCACCACCCCCCTTGCTACCACCGCTGCCACCCTTGCCTCCTCTGCCCTTGCTGCTGCGGCGCTTCCCACTGGGAGTAGAAGCGGCACCGACCTCCTCAGTACCAAGGAAGTCAACAGCAGCAGCAGAGGCGTGGGAGGGGGCAAGGGGGGAGGGGGCAGACCCCTCAAAGAGGGGAGTGCAGGGAGTGCCACGAGCAGCACCTACATCGACCATGTTGGACTCAGCTGCAAGAAGGTGCTTCTCGAGGTCATCGACTGTGAGGTCGGTGGGGGGGAGGGCTAGAAAGTGGTCCCTAACTACACGAAGAGAGTCAGGGAGTCGGGTGACTATGAAGTAGAGTATGATGTACATCGGGGGAGGGTTCTTGTCTAAGAACTTGGCGGGAAGGGCGGCGCGGTAGCGTAGGTCACTAGCGCAAAGGTGAGCGATGAGGTCCTCAGCTGTGGCGAAGGAGGATAACTCAGGGAACAGGTAGGGTAGGATAAGGCGGCTGAGAGCAGCAGTGGCTGGGGAAGAGTAGCGAGCGATGACATCAGCGTATACTGCCTTAGCAGTTTTGTGCTGGCCAAAGTGAGTGCGTTCGGCTAACGACAAGTGGTTACGAATAGCTAGGCGAGCAGCAGCGTCACGGGTAAGCCACTGTGAGCGAGTGAGGCTGTCAGCTATGTCTGATGGAGCGACTGAGGTGCCAGACGTGAGGTCAAAGAGGGATACGCCATCTTTATCATCAGTCATAAGGTACCGTTGCAGAACATCGAGCCAGGCATCAAACTCTATCGGACGGTCCTCAGGGTCAAACGACAGAACGCCGATAGATGCCATGGCCGTTAGAGCAAGATAAATAGTGCACAAGCAGTCAGAGGGTGCGCATGGAGCTGCAGGAGCAGGGCGCGGGCCGTAAAAGCGGCGTGCAGGGCTGCGGAGGGTGCGCGCGGGTCTGCAGGGGCAGGGCGCGGGCTGCAAAGGTGGCGCGCGAGGCTGCAGAGGGTGCGCGCAAGGCTGCAGCGGGTGTACGCGGGGCGGCGGGGACAGGGCGCGGGCGGCGCGCGTGGCTGACGAGGCAGCGGGTAGTGCGCGCGCGGGGCTGACGAGGCAGCGGGCGGGCTGCGCGAGCAGTGCGCGGGGCTGACGAGGCAGCGGGCGGGCTGCGCGCGCGGGGCTGACAAGGCAGCGGGCGGGCTGCGCGAGCAGCGCGCGGGGCTGACGAGGCAGCGGGCGAGCAGCGCGCGGGGCTGACAAGGCAGCGGGCGGGCTACGCGAGCGGCGCGCAGGGCCGACGAGGCAGCGGGCGGGCTACGCGCGGGGCTGACGAGGCAGCTGGCGGGCGGCGTGCGGGGCTGACGAGGCAGCGGGCGGGCGGCGCGCAAGCGGGGCGGCTAGGGCGTGGGGTAGCAGACGATGGGCCTTAAAAAAAAAAAATTCGGTCCTAGGGACCTGCTGCTCCGAAACCATGTTGAAACTAACAGACAGGAATGATTGCATTGAAAGAATTGTGGGTACAAGTACTAACCCTAGAACTGGGTTGTACCCCTTTTGGCCTACCCCACTATAGCCTACACGTTATGTATAGCATACAGTTTGACAGCAAGACCCCAATGTCTTGCTGGCGTGTTTATGAGCCAGGAGAGTGGGGCTGCTGATCACAGAGCCGGATGAGCTCAAACGGGAACTGATGGTGAAGGCAACTGATCTTCCACTAGGGCTTGACACGTTTACATCGCACGATAAGCTCTTGAAAAACTGGGAAGGGAGGAGTCTGCGCTGGAAGCAAACATGTGAGGCCTTCATGAAGTCGCCCCTTAGCGAGCGGACGGTGCCGTTAACAAGGGAGGCGGTGGCGCAGGAGAGGCTGGTGTGCAATAAAAAAATCTAGTCGGGTTGGTCGCGCCAGTGGGAGGATAGAAACATGCAAAGGCGCTATGGGATTCCAAACTGGGTGATTTGGTGAAGCAGCAACCTGACGGAAGCTGGGCGAAAAAATCCATGGAAGAGCTGACAGGAGAACCGGGTGACAAGGGACCTGCTAAGCTCGCACTGAAGGCTTTCGAGGTAGCCCCAGCAGAATGGAAGGAGATCCTGGTGACCCCTGGTGTGAGCTCGGCTGACTCGGTGCCCATTGTGGCGCAAAAGCTCCCACAAGTGCCCCTGCTTGAGGACGGAAAGGTGATTCCCCTTACAAAGATGAAGAGCTACTGGAACGGGGAAAAGCTTTAGTCGCACAGGAGGCTGAAGTGGGCGGAAAGATGGCGGGGGCGGATCAACTGGAAAAGAACGACGGGTATCAGGGAGTCTCTTGTCACACCGAGCAGGCCAAGAGACATGCTTATCCGGATCCACAATTTCAACCTTCAAGTCGGAGAAAGGTTGGCTTCTCTCAGCAGCAAACCTATGTGCCCGCACTGCTTCGAGGAGGAGACATTAGAACATTGTCTCTACACCTGCCCAAAAATCCAAACGGTGGTTACGGCTCTGAAGCGGGCGCTACAAATGATCAACCCACAGCGCACAGTGTCCAATTTGGGGGATCTTCTGTTGCGGAAGGCGGGGTCCAGCTCAGCATTCCTAGAAGCGACATTGATTGCCATCACACTGCATCAGCTCTGGCTGGAGAGGTGTGACGCAGTGTTTCAAGGAAAGAGGTTCAGAACGCGCCGAGTGTTGAGGCGGATTATTTTCCCTTTCCGACAGCATGTGAGAGTTTACATGAAGGCAAGAGAGGTGACGTGTCGGAAAAGGAAGAGGGCTGGTCACAAGGACAAGCTGCAACGGTGGATGGCAGTGTGAAAACTAGAACGAGAAATGGGAATGACTAACAGGAATGAGAGTACAAATATGAAACCCTAGAGTTCTGTACCCTCTAAGGCTAAACCCACTGTAGCCTACAAAGCTACAACATGCATAATGTTTGACACACCCCCATAGGCAAAGTGGGGGAGAACAAGGGGTCACAAGACCAGTCAAGCAAAGCAAAGCAAGCTCAGGGTGGATCTCAATGTCACCACACATTCTGAGCACAAGTTCAAGGCCACAAGGCCAGTTCACATGCAAGGTTACATATATATAACGCTAAACAAGCAAGGGCAGGTATATATATATGTAACAGTACAAGCAAGGTCAAGAAGTAAGCAAGTGAGGCAAGGTAGGCACAAGACCTAACAGAGTACAGAAGCGCTGATGATCACAAGGCGCGAGTGCCTTAGTGAAGATATCAGCAGTGTTGGCCTCAGAGGCCACGTAAGCAAGGCGCAGCTGACCACGCTGCTGCAACTCACGAGCAAGGAAGTAGCGAAGAGCGATGTGCTTCGTTCTGT